GCCGCCGGGTGATGCAACGAGGGCGGGATGTTTCGCCGCCGCGGCGGCGCGTGGGGTAAAGCGGGGCGGGGGTTGCGTCAGGCGGGGCGGCCGTTACCCGGAGCCCGCGCCTGGGTGGGTGCGTGGGTGGGGCGGGGCTGCCCGGCGTGAGGAGAAGCGGACCGAGCTCCTCGGCGGGGAGAAGGGGCTGGGGCAGGGCGCGGGGCGGCCGCGGTGGGAGCCGGGGACGGGTGGGAGAGGAGCGATCGGCCCGTTCTGTGAGGGATCGGCGGCGTCTGTGAGGTTTCCCGCCTGGTGATCCCCGGGGGAACGCGGCGGCGTCTGTGAGATTTCCCGCCTGGTGATCCCAGGGGATCACCCGCCGTCAGACCCCTGCGCACGGGGATGAGGCTGCCCGGCCGATGCCGTGGTCCCCGGGTGGATGGAGCAGGCCGCGTTGTGCCCGAAAGGGAGAAACGGGAGTGGAAAGAGAGGGCAAGCCCTCCTCAGGAGCCTGCCCCGCACTCCCGGGTTTGGCTTCATCCAGGAACGTGAGCTGCTTCGTTGGAAAACCAAGCAATTAATATTAAACTGGGTGAAGCAACAGCTCCTGATGTCAGCAGGGCTGAGGCGTAAGGCATACAGGCGAAACAGAACGATAAAATCCATGCGAATGCAAGGAAATGGTGCTGAATCCGCCCAGCTGAGTGCATTTTCCCTTGTACTAAATCCAGGCTGGAGCGTGGGCTTGTAATAACATAACATTTGTTACGTAGATGGGTCCAAGAGCTCTCTGTGTCCGAGGTGGGGACCCAGCTGTTAAATCAGCTTTGAGCAGGTTGTGACAGCTAAAGAGGTGGGCTCACATTACGAAGTTGTTCATTTTGGTAGCAGGAGAGAGAAGGGGGAAAAGAATGAGAAGAAAAACCATTGATGTTTTTATAGAAGTTTTTCTCATTATTGTTCTTGTCCTCTGCATCTAATCACTCCAAACAGTCTATTTACAGTCTTTTCTTTAGTTTCCTGTTGGGTCCCATCCAACCAGCATCCACCTTTCCATTCCACTTAACAGGGCGTTGCAGCTACAACACACACAGATGTGGTGGGTGCTCCCTGTACCTTGGCACATTCACCACGGGTGACATCAACAGCCTGTGTGGCGCTCACATCTGTCCTGCCGTGCTGTCCCTTACGCAGCATGCCCTTCTCTCCTGCCCTGCATGACTGACTCTCTGACTTGTCACCTCAGACGACCTTTCACAAGGTCCACCTTAACAGAGCCCAAAGCTCCTTAATTTTCCTCTCCACTTGTGCTTTTCCCAGCCACCTTCTCTGTCTTATTCAGGCTCAAAGGTATGGGGGTCAGCGCTGCGTCCTCCCAGCCCTTCATACCACACACCCATGCTGTTACAGGCTTGCAGCCTCTTATTCCTTCCCCACCGGTGCCTTTCCATAGAATGTGAATCCATCCTGTTTGTACAGCTGCCGAACTCGGCAGCCTTGCTCACAGAGAAGAAAGTGCTCTAGGAAGTGTTTTTCTTAGCAGTTGTCTGTATCAAAGCTCTGCCTTAGCCGTACAGTTTGTCAATCTTAAAATAATGTGGCCTTTCAATCAAATGAAACCAGTTTCATCTGGGAATTAAACCAGCCCTCTGTGTCCCATTGCACCAAGCGTATATTTTTCATATTTAGTTCTTTAGGTTTTCTTGCTAACATGAAGGAAATTTGTGCAAATCCCCAATATGTAGTTGTTAAAAGCATGAGAGCATTTGGCTGTAGCTGCATCATCCTTATCAAGCAAGGGCACAAACAGTGACAGGCAAATCAGTGTCTAAAAGATAAACTGAAGAAGCTCTTGCTAGGTTCTGGTCTTAGTGATACCAATAAAATAAATCTAGCCTCTTTCTTCAGCTTTCCCCAGGATGTGAATTTTATCCATCTGAGAAAGGCGCTGGATTATGCATGTTTTGCAAATGAAGCACTAGATATCTTATCTGCTAGTACAAGCTAAGGAAAATTGGGTCAAGAAATAAAAAATATGCTACTGGGAAGTGACTGCGTGCTTGCTGACAGGGGGAAAAAAATTGTTCCTTTCTATCGCAGAGCTGTCTCAATCGTATGTCTTTGCCAAAAGGCTCTGCTACATAGCTAGGCCAGATTTGCAATGGAGAGCTAATGCCTAAAGCAAAAGCCTTAGGGGACAGGCTTCAGATCCCGCACCAGTTTAATGCCACAGATCTCCTCCCTTCAGTGCTGTTACACCCAAATCAATTAGGTATGAGGTTAGAAACTCCTTCTGAAGTCAAGTCCCTGATTTTCTTGTGTAAAGACATTGGGATATTGCTCCATCATTAGGAGCACAGGCTGGGGGAAGACTGTTATTGAAGTTGTGGCATATACAGCAAGAGGTTAAGAATTTTTTTTGGTTTCAAGCTTTCATTAATCCATTTCTTGTTGCTGACTGTACCTTCAATATACTTTGGTTAAATAAATCAAAGGACATGAGGATCACCAGGGCTGAAGGGCTGAGCAGAAGTGGTGTCTTGCAGATGGTACAGGTGCAGCTATGCAAGTAAAGCAGGTGGATACTGAGGAGAGGATTTAGTGTCTGTCAGCGTTGTTGGAGCTTGCATTCATAAGGCAAGGAGAACAGCCTGCCAAACTGAACCGCAGGAATGCTCAAACAGGTGTGAGGGAGGATGTGGAGCAGCAATGGAGTTTACTGTTAAGGAACATGACGTAGATGCAGGAGTACAACAAAAGGAAATGGAAAAAAGCCATAGGACTTCAACAGTTCAAAAGTTACTAAGGGAAAAAGGAAGGGAAGATAATGGTCATACTCTGTTGATTACAATAATAATAAAAGAGCGTAGAAGCAGTAAGAATTTTTATTTTGGGCTGGAAACCTTTAGGAAGGAGAAAAAGGCAATCATAGCTTTATTTCTTACATCCTGAAACTAGTTTTTCCAGGTTTCAAGAAAAGGAGGAGCTAGTTTCTCTTCAGCAGTATATGCTCTGCTTCCCCAGAGTGAGCATTCCCATGTTAGTGCCCGGTGACTGACAGTGCCAGAGCTGCCTGTTTTTCAGGATAGTGGTGAATCACCCCAGAGCCAGAAGAACCAACAGAGCTGGCATGACAGGTAGCAGTGGATTGAAACTGTCATTAGCTTCATCTTGTGTTTCAGGCTCTTATTTGCTTCAGTAAGCTGAGGGCACAGAAAATACCAAACAACACACAGAAAATATCAGAAAATACTGACTGGGGACAGGAGGATTGCCAGTTCATTTCCAGATACCACCACATCTTCCTCCAACAGCTTGGCACTGCTTTCCCCTCTCTATAGTGAGCAGGCAGGAGAATCTAAAAATTAAATCTGCCCCTTTTCCCTAAGGCTTCAGTAAAGATTACAGCTACTGCAGTTGGAGGTGAGGTTCAAACAATGCCACAGACTTTTAAAGTGATATAAATCAGTACTATTCTCCTGATATTCACGATGCCATGTCCATGGGCATCACCAAGGGTCTTACTTCTGTTTGCTGAATCCAATTCTTATGGCATTTACAAATCTCCTCCAGATGTGAACACTTACCATATAAATATGCAGTCATCCTTGTTTCAAACATGGAAATACAGAATTGGCATTGTCAAAGCTTCCATATTAAAGCTTGGGGATCAGGAATGATGTATGGAACAGTAGGCAGGGGTGTATTTGGATATGTTTGCTACATGCAAAGGGAATGCACTTTTGTTGTTAAATGCTTTAATTCATGGGGTTAAATACAGTCCCGAGCAAAGAGAATTAAAAATGGCAAAGGACGTACCAGTACTTTAAAGAGAACAACCTTAAACTCTAGCGGATGCAGTACTGTATGGACACCAGACTGAAAAACAAAAGTTGCATATTTAGGACAATAAGGAAACTGTGCATACAAAGCACCATTCAGGTGGAAATCAAACAAGGCAGGGAAGTCAGTTTCCACATTTAGGTGGCCTGCATGTCAACACTAATAATAGGATTAATAGTTTGGAGGATTCTTCTGCAGGACAGAACTTAAGCTGCTGCTGCTGCTGCTGCTGACCCACTCCGTGTTCAGTCTGTTCACCCCTATGGCTGCTACAGCTCTGACTGTTGTCAGCTGTGTTGGTAGTTTTTGCAGTGTACCCAATTCATATCCTAAAGACTACTGAATGCCTGCAGATGGGAATGACACACTTGATTGAGCCATGACAAACTTGATTTGTATTTGAATTATTTACATGAGGGGGGAAAAAAATCCATAGATCCAAAAAACATTTTAACACGCCATCAATCCCCAGTGGCCTGGTAGTTGACTGAGAAGTCCTCTGAAGAAAACCCAGCATTATCATTTTGGCTTTTGAGTCTTGTACACCAAAGTGATCTGCTGCACTATGCTTTTTGCTGACTTCCCCTCCCGTTCTCACTTCAAGCTGGTGGGCAGTTTTGACCCTGGTGGCAGGAGCTGGCCTTGGTTGCTTTGGTCACTCTGCTCCTCTGTCACATTCTATGTTGCTGACTGATACCGAGGTCCCCCCAGCCCTGGTCCATAAAAAATTTCTCCATAAAGAATCAGAACTCCCAATTTCAGACTGGATTTTGTCTTGGTTAAAGGGCAGGCATGGTGAGCAGAGACTGAGGAGATGGTGTGGAGGGTTGTAGCAGGAACTTAGGGAATTTTGTCTTTTCTTCCTTTGGGGTAGGAAAGAAACTCAAACACCTCCTGCTAGCACAGCTTGAGGGATGAGCAAACTGGATACTGAACGTAAAAGCTGAGTACAGACCTGCTGGAAACCCCTTTTGCTTGAGCCCATAGCATCCCAAGCCCAGGAGCTCATCTGAGTGCCAGGCTGTGAGCCATGAACTAGATTGGCTCATCCTTCTGCGCA